CACAAGGAAAATGTGCGTCACTTATTTTTTGTTCCTGAAAATAAGGAAAATATTCTCGCCATGTTTTTCTATTAAAGAAGGCATTGTATGGTCTTAAACATGCATCAAGATTTTTATACGATAGATTTAACAAATATCTCCTACACCTTGGATTTTCTTATAATACGGCAGAATCCTCATTGTTCACATTGAAAACTCAGAAAGGTTCAATATACCTCTTGATGTATACAGATAACATTATTGTAATAACAAGTAACCAATTACATGTATTTGAGTTGGTTTTACTACATGGAAGAGAGTTTTCTATGAAACATCTTGGTCCTATACAATTGTTTCTTGGAGTGGAGGTAAAATATTTTATGGGAGGAGTTTACTTGAGTCGGAGTAAGTATGTCGCTTCCCTAACTTAACAAGAAGGATGTGAAATTGTTAAAATTTGTAGCTACTCCTTTGGAAAAATTGCATGGCTAAAATGAAGTGGTTGGAGGTTTGTACATTCCTCTTTGTATAGGTAACCTCTAGTATTTGACACTCCCAAGGCCTAATATCAGTTATGCGAAAAATGTAGCCAGTCGACATGCATATCATCGATGAGCAATATCCAGAAAATAGTAGGTTGAGACATATAGACTTCCTGCTCAAGAATTCCGCGAGTTCATGAAATATCATAATAATGAACATCTTCAAGGAGGTAGAATGATTCTCATGTACATAATATGTACTCTACAATTTGAACTCAAACAATTACTTATGTTATAGTCATCTTGTACGTTGTATGGATATTCAAATACTCATTTGGCTATGAAGATGCACTACCTTTCCGAGATCCACTACATGTTATAACATCTTTATAGGTGCAAATTATTTTTCATGGATTTCCTAGAAACAGACAATAGTAGCGAGATAAATGTTGAATTTGAGTATAGATTACAAGTCTTCACTGTAACAGAGTTGACATGGATCATCTACCTACTTCATGATCTTAAGAGTGTACCTCAAGACAATGTCTACAGTGTTTTGTACATGAAAGTTGATATGAGGCTATATATATATATATATATATTCGATTATTATTTAGCACATATTTATTATTTGTATTTATCCTTTTCGGGTATGAATTTTATGGGTTGTGGTAAATAATGTATTTACTAGTACGAGTAAATTGATGTAATGTTGAAGAAATTTGGAGCTAAAATGAATCAAACATTGAAGGTTGGAGAATGAAATCACGCATGAAACTTAATGGATTAAAAGTTATAAATTAATACGTAAATTGAATTGCAATACAATTGTGTTGCCATGTGTAAGAATTTGAATAGAGGCAACAAATTTTGAATGCACAGCTTCACATGGAAAATTAAACGGAATTCAACTCTGTTTTGGTTTTAGGTTTCCTATTGATTTGGACTAAGTTATTTTATTTAGGCTTTTCTAGATATATATAATATTTTAGAGAAATAATTATGGAGAAAAATACATGGCATCAAGTATAATTTATCAATACTTTTAGGGTTCTTTTCTTCTTCATTTCTTAGACATAAGTACCTAAGACCCGTATTCTGGGCCTGCATCTATGGGTAATTGTTGAACATCAATTTTTTTGAATTAATATTGGTTGTCACTTATAATACTTTTGTATTCTTATTTTAGTAATTCATGCTAGATCACCATAGAGATTAAAATAGTCTATTATTAAACTCGAGAGATGATGGGACAGATAGACCAAAGAGTACAAAGGGCTTGATCTTCCATTAAATTTAGTTTATATATGTCTAGGAGTGACGCCGGACGAACACCTTGCTTGGTTACAAAACAGATGAAATATAAATACTTGCCAATTTCCAGTGCCTATCCCATCTCAACGATGTAGTTAGACAACCAATTACAGTAGGCAATTAGAGGTTCGGAGACCTTAAGCGTAAACTCAACCTTGTAAATCAATAATTAGATAATCGTATTACGTCACGTATGGGCGTGATAAATGAAACCCTATAGATGTTTCAACCTTGGGAGTTTCCATTCGTTGTAAGCAATTTTATTATTTAATTCCTATATTCTTTTCTTTACAACTAAAATCAAACTATTTTGGCACTCTTATATTAGACTAGTATAATTTAGTAAACATAGTTAACCAACAAATCCTTTGGGTTCGATACTCTAATTTTAAGAGACACTATTACTTGCGCGACCACGTTCACATGAGTGTGAAACTGAGAGGAAATATTTTTTGGAGCCGTTGCTAGGGACTTAGAAATAAAGTATTCTTCTAGGTTATTTTCTTTTTATGTATTTTTTTATATATCTTGATACATAGTTTTTCTACAAATCAATACTCTTTATGTGATAAACGGGAATGATGATTATTCTTGTGTGTTAAGACCTTGTACTTGTTGCAAATAACTCTCTTTTTGCAACAATGCCAATATATTCTTAGGGAAAATTGTGTGCACCATCTTAATCCTATAACTTTATAGTATTTTGTGGTTCGGTTAGACTGTAGTGTGCTACTCTATGCCAAAACCCTACCATGATGATTCTAATAATCTTTGTTCCTTAGGTAGTATGGGATCTTGTAGGAAATTAATAGAGGAATATGAAAAGCTTCATAAGATAAACATACATGTGATGTCACCCCTTATAGGTAGAAAAATGAAGAGCTTGTGACGATGTTGATTTTTTTCTTGCATACTCAGAACTTAAGCAATGAATTGAATGCAAAGACTGCTGCGTTTGACGCTCAAATATCCAATTATTGTTTAGTGATACTCATAAGGCACTCAGAAATCAAATAGAGGTTCTAAAATGGGAAGAGATACAATGCAATCAGACTTTTCTTGAAGATACCACATTTGAGAAATAGTACAAAAGTGAGAATGTGGTAAATGATTTTGCTTTGGAGTCGAGACATCTTCAATCACATTCAAAACACTTTCTATATTATTCTTCGATGGCAACATGACATTTGAGACATCTGAACTAATGCATGAGTGTATAGATTAGAAACAAGGCCCCTACACCCTAAATTTTTCAACTCCATGTAGGCAAAACAACATTCCACACCCAAAAAAATAGAAGTGAATGATGAAACATAAATTACTTGGTTCCTTCATCTTTACACCACCATCTATCAAGAGGAGCAAAAAAATGATGCAAAGATAGGGGTAAAATCTATAAGTTCAATATGAAAAGAAAAGTGACGTATTTTATTGATCGTGCCACAACATTGAATTAGGCGCTTATTGGGAGACAACCCAATTAGTAGTGTAACTTATTATTTTATTTTATTCTATTAGTGTAACTTTTTGTCTTGTCTTTGTAGATTAAGGGAAGTATGAGTATCCAAAAATTTGAAGAGAAGGAGCATAAGTATGGGGTGCGTACGAATCTTCATGAAAAATAAAAGAACATGCTACTAGCTATAACTTAAGGAATTTTTCCTAACCTTTGTTTTGAATATTATTTGATGTTTTTGAGGGTATAATTTTTTTTATTGTGGGGTGGAGTAATGAATTCCAAGTTTTTACTCTTTTATCGTGTCTTTTCTTATTTTAGGATGAGTTCCTTCTCTTTTATTTTTTGTTCCTTTCTTAAGATAGTTCCTTTGAATTGAGTGTCTTTTATTTTGTTAGGAATAATTTTTTTTCAGAGAAAAGAAACGACCCATTTGAGTGGTGTGATATTTGCTATTTAGGCCTAATTTTTTTTATAGAGATTTCTCTTGAATGCTTGATTGACAAGAAAATAGCAGACTCCTTGACATCGAGGCTCATGGTTATGACTTTGTATATAAATTATTTTATTTGTAGTTTGTTATGACAATGTCTCACTTAAATGTGCAATTGATCCATCTTAATTTATACTTATTCCACGTGTGGTGAGAATTTGTTTATTTGATGTTTTGCATCATATTTTGAAACTTTCCCTGCTTGTTATAAAAGCGAATAAGAAGTGTTGTTTTGTTTAGGATATGATAATAAGATTTAATTTCATTTTCTTGTATATTTTAGCTTTTTAAGATATTATGTCAGTAGTTAGCCCTTTTGATCTTGCAACCTTTTGTTGGTGGTCATATTTTTTCCTTGAATATTTTTGAATAGCTATTTTTGTACCTTGCTTCCTTGAGCATTATAGCATAAGAATTATTCTAATTGTAAATTCAGAAAAAAATATGGTTGAGTGAAAATTTTATAAAGGTTAGCTACAATGTTATTAAAAATCCCTCTTCGAAATAATGTGACATGAATAAAAAAGAAGAAGAACAAAAGAATGTGATTAAACAAAATCCTTTGAAAAAAATATTAAAAATGACTCAAGCATTATTGAAAATATCAGAATTACTTGTGAAATAATTATTTAAGAGAGGTATGAAATAAAAAAAAGGAAATAATGGGTTATTTAGTCTAAAATTGTCAAGTGCTTAAGGAAGTGTAAGTCACTATTATACTGTTTTTTTAACCGTCCCCTTGCCTACATTACAACCCGTTAAAGTCCTATTTGATTCTATTCTGAGTGTGAGTTGTCTTTGATGCTAAATCTTTATTTATATTCCATATTTTTAATTGACTGTGATGATTATTTCTTCTTTTGAGGTTACTTGTTTCATGATCGATAACTGATTTTATTAACTTGCTTTGATGAGTGTAGATGAGCAAACTTAAATTTTATGAGTTCAAAGTCCTTCCTTGAGGCTAGGAGGTTAGAGGTTTATTGTTTATTATTGTACTTGATATTTTAAAATTCTTATATGGTAAAATTGTTTGCATCTGCTTAAGTGATGATACTCTAGTATAATTTTCTGATATATACTTTAATGTTTGCTGGCCACTTGTCCTGATCAGAAGAGGAAATAAAGAGAATGGTGACTCCTTTCCTTACACTCAAGGAGGACGAGTAAAAGTGTAAACGTGGGGGTGTTCACTTGTAATAAACCATCCATACAAAACTAAAACGGGATAAAACTTAAAATATAGCTAGTGAAGAAAGCAAGAAAGTTTACTCACCGCAGGTTTTCCAGGGATAAAACAATGCCACACCATCAAATTGACAGAACCATCTGGAGCAGTTTCTGGCTTCGCCACAAATCCCTTAGGGAAAAAAGAAGAAGAGAGGCTTAAGTTAAGTGAGACATCAAATCCACAAATCCTAAAAACCCATTATTGTGCATCAATAAAATAAGAAAAAGTTACACAAAATGTACTGAGTAGAAAGAAATCAAAAGGGTATAGAATACATGTGGGTGATCCATCCGCCATAATCTGCGCTCCTCAGCAAGACGAAGACGTGCGATTCTGCCAGCCATGTTTGCGATTTACCCCCTTTCTTCTCTCTTGGTAAATCCAAAATTCTTAGAGGCGATTGAAAATGAAAAGGGTTTTTCAAGGAAACTTCACTTATAATTTATGTATTTAATTTCGAGTTAGATTTAATATTGCAATATAAGTTTAATATTTGTTCTCTATCAACTTATGTCAATCTAACTCTATTTATTATGATTACGGGATTTCTATGTACATTAAATTTCATATTAATTTAATATTCCATCGAATAAAATTAACATAAATTTATTGTGGTTACTTGATTTATTAGAGTCAAATATTAGCAATAGAGAAATCAACGAATGATTTTTGCTCTTAAATAATGTCATTATTTGAGCCTACACCCTGTGTGGGACTGAAACAAGAGAAAAATAACTTGCCCTAAGCGATCCCCTGTCCTGGTGTAACTCTTAGCATGTTGTAACCCTCAAAATGAACTAAGTTAAACTAGATACTATCATATGTATTATGAGTGAATAAGGTTTTAAATTTATGAATAATAGTCTTAGAAGGCAGCTTGAAGGGTTTTGAAGTCAAACGTCGAAGAACACCAAGACGTTTGGAAACTAGTCTTGTGCGTATGCTAGTGTTCCTTTGACTGTTTTATGTGTAGTATGATATATAAATGGATAGGAGGGACCCTAACATATATATGATCATGTTTAGGGTCAAAAAGTTCGAGTACAAATCTCAAAGAACCACCCCAAGGGTCCTTGAAGAGGACCCAAACGTTGGCCATAAAGCTGCCAAGGCAACCTCAAATACGACCCAATCGATGTCCCTTTGATTGAATGGACCCTTTATAAGGGGGCATGTCTCCACACTTAGTTTTGGGGATATCAGCTCCCAATGTATTAGCCTTTGATCCAAACCACGCACAGCAGGACAAGTCGTGGTTCCATCGACGTCCCGTCGTTTGGCCTGCAATTTTCCTGTAGGTGATTTGAGAAATTCACCCACGTTCTAATTAATTCCTAGGCGGATATTTGAGGAGTTTTAAAGTATATTAATTTAATTTAAATACCTAGACCTAAATTATACTTCACTTTTCCAAATCAAAACCCCATGTTCAAAATATGTTCTTGATAGGTTCCATTGAATCTTGAACTCAAGGTGGAGCTAGGGTTGAAGTTTATCAGTGGTTTGTCCATAAGTTTTGTGGAATTTAATAATATATTAAGGTATGGTTATTTCATCCTTAATTTTTATGCCATTCAAGGAGCCAATTCCAAAGGCTTTCTAAAGATCTTTGAAAACCCTTAGATCCTATTTTGAATTCTAAGCATGGGTTCTTGCATGAAAAGGTTTAAACTGATATTGAATGAATTTATCAATGTTAATTTATGGTTTTAACATCAAAAACTACATCAACCAATGTATTCCTTGAATTCATAACTTTTGCTCTAAAGTGGGTGAATTGATCATGACTTAATTGTATTGAATTCATGTGTAGAGTGTTATGGGCTATTGATTTATACGTTGATCATTGTTGAAATTTTATATAGATTTCAGTATAAAATTTATAGCTATATTGAGTTTTATTAGATCATTGATATTGATAAATTGTTGGATTAGACAAATGTACATTGTTATTTGAAAGATCTTTTATTTTGTGAATTAGCTGGAAAGGATAAGGAATGAAGATTGTGGCGATTAGAAGGTAGTGAGTTAACTTAATTTCATTGTTTAGTATAAAATTTATATTGAATTGTTATTTATTGGTATGGTCCACCTACGGTGACAATGTTTAATGGTTATAATTGTTCTGAATATGGCCTTTTCTCCATCATTAGGTGATCTATGGTATGATCATGATATTGTATAAATGAAGGTATAAAGTGAAGTTTCTCATGTGATGTGTACACGATCTCTTATGGGTGCTATAGTGATATGATTGAATGTACTTACTTTCTAGTTTTTGATATATGTTTATGAAGGACAAGGGAGAGCCTTATAGAATGATGTTGTTGGTAGGCTAGTTGTCCCTATTTGGTTCTTTAGTGGTATTGAATGAGAGTAGGAATGAAACTCTAAGATCGTGTAGACCTAGAGTTGTGCCCTTCGTTGAATTAAATTAATCGGATATTAATATAAGAAGGATGCCCGCAAGAATAATGGATGAGGAAACTGTGAATAAGGGAGTTCAAACCCAAGGTGAACATGTTCTTTAAGGTGTTCAAGTTCCTCAAGGTGAACAAGTCCTTATATCTAATAAAGGGGATGAGGTTCCTGTGGTTATCCCGTACATTACTAACGATAAAGTTAGAGGATATCTTCTTACCCTAGCCCTAGCCATGAGGCTCAAGCGAATCAAAATATAGGTCCTAGGATGCATACTGTTGAGACTACCATGACTCTATATTGAGGGACTTTGTAAAGATGAATTCTCCTACCTTTCTTGGATCTATTGTTGTGAAGGATCCCCAAGAATTCTTGGATGAGGTTTATAAAATAGTACATGCTATGGGGGTGACGTCTAGGGAGAAGGTAGAGTTTGCTTCATACTAATTTAAAAGGGTTGCTCAGGTGTGGTTCACACAATTAAAAGACAATAAGCCAGTTGAATCGGGTTCTATAGAATGGGAAGAGTTTAAGAAATCATTCTTAAAGAGATATTTTCCCTATGAGAAGAAAGAAGTTAAGGTTAAGGATTTCATATACCTTAGGCAAGGTAACATGAGTGTGGAGGAGTGTCCTTTGAAGTTTACCTTGTTGTCTAAATATGAAAAAAGTAGGTTCGTGAACGATGCATGTAAAATTGTGAATGAAGAGTGTCATACGACGATGCTCTATCTGGACATGATTCTATCGAGGGTCATTGTGTATGCGCAATCTATTCAAGAGTCTAAATTTGAGAGTAGAGGTAGAGATGCTAAGACGTGAAGAATCATTGATTAAGGTCAACCTCGGTTTAAGAAGAGGGCTCAGAATGAAGATGTTCCTAGTGATCCTAAGTCTAAATATGAGAGATATGGTGGTTATAAAATTGATAAACCTACATTAATAAATTGTGGGAATAAACACTTTCGGAAGTGTCTAGCTGGTAGTAATGGGTGCCATGGATTTGGGAAGAATGATCACATGTTAAGATATCGTCCTACTAATACTTATAAGGGAATAAAGGACAATCAATCCCCAAATAATGGTCCCAGTGTAGGTGAACAAAAGAGGAATACTTCTATTGTCTTCAAGCTAACAAATAAGTAAATTTGCATGAAGGTACAAGTAAGTTATAGTTTTCCCTTTTGTTATGTTGATGATATGGTTGATGGTTTTCTTCTAAGTGGGGGAGTATGGTGAATAGTTGGCTTGATGAATTTTGTCTCTTCTCTTCTATTATATTCAAACTTCAGAGTTAGAACTTTCTAGTAGCATGTCATAAATTGGAATTCTTTTGTAAAAAATGAATTTAATTTTTCCCTTACTATTTTGGCATGTTGCTATGAGTTTATGTTTACATACTAAAATATCTTAAATAATGTTATCTCTCAGATTGATGTGCATCTAGAATGAATTTCCTAAATGTCACATGAGTGAAATTATATGCATGATTAATAGTGAACAATTAGAAATGTTGCATAATGGTGTTTTATGAGACTTAAGAATGATGTGATTAAAAGAAATGTAATGAGCATGATGACATGCGGAGAAGGAAGTGCCACCCTTGTGAAATTAAAAATGTAGAATCTTATTGCATGATAAGTTGTAGATGTTGTTCCTACTTTTGCATTGTGTTTGAGTCTCTTATTATGTGGAGTTTACTTTCCTCCTACATATGTGCATTGTGTGTGATGTGGTATATTTATTAGCTTCTAGTCTTGAGTCTTTATCTTTTGAAAGTGTTGAAAGTGTTTTAGTGTCATTCGAGGACGAATGATTTCCAAGTGGGGTAGATTGTTACAACCCTCAAAATTAACTAGGTTAAACTAAAGACTATCATGTTTGTAATGAGTTAATAAGGTGTTAAAACTATGAATAATAGCCTTAGAGGGCATCTTGAATATTTTGTAAGTCAAACGCTGAAGAGCAACTAAGAGTTTGGAAAGTAGACTTGTCTGCTAAGGTGCCTTTTCATGTTTTATGTGTTGTTTGGTGTTTAAATGTATAGGAGGGGATCCTAAAATCTTGATAAGATTTTTTAGGATCGAAACGTGTGGGACGACTCCCCAAGAACCACCCTAAGGGTCTCTGAGGAGGACCCAAACGTTGGCTATGAAACTGCCAAGGCATCCTCGAACCACGACCCAATCGACGCCCCTTTGATTGAATGATGACCCGTCATGAAGGGGAATTGATCCATATTTAGTTTTTGGGATATTTCCCCCCAAAATACGAGCCTCTGATGCAAACCACGCCCAGCAGGACGAGCTGTGGTTTCATTAACGCTCAGCCGTTTGGCTTTCAATTTTCCTTCAGGTCTTGGCCAAGTGACGAGTGATTTAAAAAATTTTACCCCACGTCCTAATTAAGTATAGGAGGTTATTTTAGGCTTTGTAAATTATATTAAGTTAGTTTAAACACCTAGACCTAAATTAGACGTCCACTTGTCAATATAAAAACCTTAAGTTCAAAATAAGTTCTTTCTAGACTCCATCGAAGCTTAAACTCAAGGTGAATCTAATATTGATGTTTTTCAATGTTTTACACATTAATTTTTTTGTATTCATCTATTAAAGTATGATTATTTCATCCTTGATTTTTATTCCTTTTAAGGAGACAATTTCAAGGGCTTTTAAAAGATCTTCAAAAACCTTGAAATCCTATTTGAACTCTAAGCATGGATTCTTGCATAAAAAGGTTTAAATTGATTTTTTTATGAATTTATAAATGTTAATATATATTTTTAATATAAAAAAGTCTATAAACCCATGTTTTCCTTGAATTCCTAATTTTGGTACAAAAGTGGGTGAATTGATCTTGGCTTAAAAGCTTTACTTCATGTGTAAATTTTTATGGTGTATTGATTTATATGATAATTGTAGTT